ACCAGCTAAGTCCAGAGAAATAATTTAGTCATAAGGACCACCTTATGTTATTTATTTCATCTCGGATATGTCCTTTCCAGGAAATACGCTCGGAACCACACAAGACTTAGCCCTAACATGCACAGCTAAGATAAGGACACAAGAGACACTTAGCTTTATGCTAAACACTTAACTAACTTATTAAGCAGTAGTTCTGAACTTTTAGGGCCATGCATTAGTCACTCACAACAAGTGTGCCAGAATGCCACAGAGCCCCTGCTTAAACCGACCTCAACCTGCCAAGGAACCACTGCCCCAAACCACGGCATGGCTCCAAAAAGGATGCAACAAAGCTAACCAGAAAGGGCCCAAGATTCACTCAGGACCCTGCATCTACCCACGACATGCAGACAAGACTTTCACTTGCAAACTGTCTAACCAACATGACTGCATGAAACAGATTCTGCTTGATATGGATTACGTCCAGTCGCGAGGTGCACAGCTTCCTAGATCGTCAAACAGAGACTGTCAAAATGGACTACCAGCTGTTGCAATAAGCTTTGATCGCTTAACTCCCTGATCCAGAATCAGACCAAGGGTTATCACCACCGTGGACATCAAGTAAGACCGACTTGAAACTCCACCGACTTCGGCAAGCCTACTTCGAGAAGCAAACCATCAGGTATGAAAAGGATACCAGTTTCAGAACTTTGTTCCCTTAAAACCTGCATCCCACAGTGAGTTAGTCGATAAGCACCCTGGCCTGTGCTTGTAGCCTGTCTACCTCAGCTACGAGACTGGGCCCGCAAAGCTCACATTAAGCAAAGACTTTGTCCGAAAAGACTGTGTAAAACCCTCAGACTAACCTGTCTCTGAGCACGACTCAGAGCTGCCCCTAGAAGGCACCCCATACATCACAAACACCTTCACTGAGAGTTAAACCGTTCCAGGCCAGCAGAGGGCAACACAACAGTCATGGTGCTCATCTAACGCCCCAGAGCAAGAGCTCTGAAACATTTCTGGAAGCCAGCCGGCGACCCAGAATGGACCGCCCAGCACCAAGAGACTCAAGCCCAACCAGCCCAGAGCGGTACCCTCTCAACACGCCACTGGTAAGCACAAGTCTGAGCACACATCAGATAACAACAGTGCAGCCACGTCACAGACGGCAGAAATCCTGAAGGTGCTGAAAGCGTTTCTGCACGAGACATCACAAGGAGACAAGTCAGACATCCTATGTCTCAGCGCAAGACCCAAGCCAGACACCCAGAACACTGCTCGTCAGCATCAGACCACAGAGCTCACTGTCGCATCACAAAGCGACAACACCAAGCAGCCGCTACAACTGACAGCTGCACAACCTGAGCATGACAGTCCGGTGTCCCACAAAACACCGGCCCTAACCGCTCATCGATCACAACACCAGCCCAGATGCCTAAACTTCTGGGAACCCTAAACAAAAGGGGGTGGCCCAAAAGACTCTACATAACCACCACCAGAGACAATCATTTGAGCCTTGAAGGCCTGTCAGACACTAGCTCAAACATCACGCTAATGTCAGCCCAACTCTTCGAAAGACTCACTGCTAAAGCTAAGAGTCAAGAACGCACTCTCAAAGCCCAAACATGTGAGCTGAATGAAAACCCTACAGCCAAAACAACTTCTGGCTCAAAACAGGTAGCTCCCATTCATCCATTTGGTCCTATGAGCCTGATTCACCCAGGGTACCGATCAAGAACGATCACGTACCCACTTCTGATTGCCCAAGATCTGTTAGATCGCTTTGAGCCTTTAATAGACTTTAATCAACTGAATGCCTGAGCTCAAGTTCAAGAACCCCTCCCCCTCCAGTCATACAGGTCAAGAGAACCTAACTGGCAGGTCACAGAGGTCACAAGAACTCCCGCAGCCAACCATGAAGGCACAGCCTCAGCACCAAATGGAGAGGTGAACTTGCTACTCTGCACCTTTCAGCTCACTAAAGACTTTGACTAACCAAATGAACTCTGAAACTACCACCTCTTTACCCCTCCAACCTCCCAAGCCTGCCATCGGACACATCAGGCAGCACACCAAGAACATGCTGCTCAACGGCCCTACAACTCAGTTTCATGCACCTCGTGACATCACTTCGCCACGGCTTGTGCTTCCACGGTGCATAAAGGGGGATATGCCAGTGTATGCCCAGTCACGCACCATGTGGGCTGCACACCGCAGCACCAGGACATCTCGGCATCCTCAAAGGCATCAGACTGTCCCAGCCGACAGCCGCTGAATTCTTTCCTCCCTTTCTCTCTCTCTCCCCTGTCTCTGTTACAGGATGCTGCTGTGGTCGTCTTCCTGTGCCTCCAGCCAACCAGAGGACAGCTACTGTCGACCGCCTCACCGCCGGGTCCGACATCAGACAGCATATGGTCGACTGCCACGCAAGCAGAGCTAAATGGACTCCCACGCCGCTGCTGTCAGTACGCAGTCAAACACCGGCCTGTCCAGCAACCAAACGAACTGAAATCCCACAGCCAAAAGGTAACTCACAACACAGAGTGCCTCCTCACAGACCATCAAGAAATTGAAAGGAACTGTGATAAATCAGCAACGCACACAGCATTCTACTGAACCAGACAAGTGAGCTCCAGCGAGACAACTGTTCACTGTCTGCCAGAATGACTTTGCTAAAATTTACCAAGCAGCCTTTGCTCCAAGACCCGAGCTACCCTGCTGCAACCGAGCGTGAGTCAAGTCCCAGCCAGGACGAAACCCACGATTTCACCCTGATTCCAGAACTGGAATTATGAACGATGATAGGAGGGGTCCAGCCAAACTGGACTTGTTCCCAGTGACCGCTGTGTCTCAACTGCACACCTGTTGCACTGCACAACTGCCTCACCGGTAGTCCAATCCTGGACTGCAGCTGATTCTGCACTGGGTACCTCTACGGTAATCAACCACACCCTGACACTTGACATCCACGCTGCACAAGAGGCAAGGAAATGCAAACCTCCACAGCCACCACGGGACCCTCAGGAAGAGGGTACCACGCTGGAGACTGCGTCAAACCTCAGCAAGCTGAGCCCCTACCTCAGCCTAGCCGCCGCCTGCCACCTGACCCTCATGATTCACCTGCCATCCGTCCATTGCGATGGTGTCGTTCGATGAAGTCACACAAGGACTTCACCTAACGAAAAGGGGGAGATGTAATGAGTCTTGGCCAGGCGAATTACATCAACACATACACGCACACACGAACCTTTCACTTCCCCCACACATCGGAATGTGTGGAATGTTTTTGAACAAAGAGAAGGACTTTTGGTGTTTAAAAACATTCAACAAAATGTTTTCAATGGTTTTTATGTATATGTGTCTTCCCCATGTCACAGTGAAATAACTTTGTTTGGTCACAGTTTAAATAGGAATTAAAAATACCTTCGTCATGCATTTGAAACATAAGTGTATATTCCTTTGATATAACATAATGTTCCTTGATATCTCTAGAATGCTTATTGAATGAAACACTCGAATATGCATAGAGATGTAAAGTAAAGTGTATTTTTAATTCGTTGTACTGCCAATGAAGATCAAATTGCTATTGCAAAACCCTCATTTAACACACCCCCTTCCACGAGAAGCGCGCGCTGAGGAACAAAAGAAAGCTTCCCGCGTGCAACATCCACTCTCCGATTGGCTCAAGCCAACAGGAAGGGGATGGATTTCTCCAAGGTGATAAATGTGAGAACGCAGGTCCGCCCTGTCTCTCTTCTGAACTTTCCAGCGCTCAACATGTAAACCTCACGGGACTCTGATCCAACGATGGATCTTTCCTTTTGTTCGTCTAAAAGTTTCATCTTTTCCTCAAATGGACTACCAAGTTCGTCTTCCAGGAAAGGAAGTGGACTTTGCCGAACTATCTCCTCGGGTAACGTCACCTCAAAAACTCTCAGCCTTTCAAACACTGGCGCTAAATGCCGACGAACGCCACGTGACTCCCCACGGAACAAAGCAGCCATGAACGAGCCGGGACGGGCCGCGCAAACGTGCCGCGGCCGCGCTTCACGTGAGGCACGCGCGCAGGACAGGCGCGCCCCCAGCCGACACGTGGCCCAAACGGGCCGAGCAACGAGCCCACGACTCACACAGACCCAATGTGCCTTGCAAGTATACCTTCTTTTAGAGCTTCTAAGAAGCATTAAGAAAATGTTTTTGGTGGTGTCCAGAAAGGTTAACTGACTGTTTTGATGAACGTAACTCTCTCTCTCACAACTCACTCTCTCTCTCACTCTCTCTCTCTCTCCAACTCACTTAACTCGCGCGTATCCATTGTCTAAACGCTCTGCGTCGTCTTAGTTTGTGTTTTAATGTTTGTAAATACATGTATCATTGTAACGTAGTGAATGCTTAAGTAGTAACTTTATTAAATACAAAATATGCTTACCTTGACTGATTGTCTTGCTCATGATACGGGTCAATGAAATGTCAATTTAAAGCTACACGCTTTACAGAACTATAAATACCTAAGAGGGTATTTGGTTATATAGCAGGGAAGGCAGATTCTAGTGGCCACAGAATTCGTTTTCACAAGCTATATAACTTAATTGAGCTAATTGATTTTATCTGTCTTGTAAAACGTGGTCCTTGCAATCAATAACAATTAATTTGTGGTTGATTGCGGGGATGCACATGTATGCATATGGGTAAAATTAATAAATTAACATGTAAGACCGGTCTGATCCAAATCTGTATGAATAATTATTAATTATCAATTATTAATTATGATATGCAAATTCCCCCCCTGATCAGAACCGACCTAGAGTCTTTACATGTGTTAGCGGCCCCCTGTCACAGTCTGTGTCTGCACCATCCTGTCTGCGTCTCCTTCACTACACTTCCCATGATCCTCTCGTCTGCACACCTGAACTCACTCCCTCATCAGCCTCCCGTTCAGCGTCTGTTGTGGCAAATCAGAAGTCTCAATTCAGTTTAGCAGAGTCAAGTCTTGGTCTTGTAGAAATTGCGCAGAGTCGAGGTTTCAGGTCTCAGAAGAATAACTTTATTGAGCAGGACAACAAAGTGAGATGTGGCCAAGCATCTGAAGTTAAGTTGGTTTCATCCCAGCATATTATACCCTTTTCTTATCGTGGCTGCCCAATTAGTGTTTCTGCCCTTATCTCTTTTCTCCTGCTCCTCCTCTTCATTTCGCACCCATTATTGCTTACTCAGCCTTATTCCTGCTTTAACCGTGGCGAAACACGTGCTCATATGTTTTTTAAAAATAAAGTACTGTACACTTTTTATTATCAAGGCTAGGAGGTCAATAGGTTAAAAAACTAACTGTCAAATCCAATTTGATCCCTTTAAACTTATCTAGGGGGTTAATAGGTCATAAAACTAACTGTCAAACCCATTTGATGCCCTTTAATCTTATCTAGGCGGTCAATAGGTCATAAAACTAACTGTCAAACTCAATTGATGATACCTAGGCGCAGTCGTGTGACTCTGAACACCTGTTTTTACTATTTTTGCTAATTACATGACCATTTCTATAGATACGGCCTTCCATACCTTGTTGCTCTGCAGAGGAGCAGTTTAAAAGAGGAGCAGTTTACCATGACATGAATAATCAACCATCTGTATTTCTCTTTTTGAAGTGACTTAAGACAAGTGGATTTCTCCAACACATCCCCCCTTTGGGACTATCCTTAGTCCCACACTCACTGTATACCCAGGATGCATCTGCATGAGCCGATCCTTCTTTCCTCATATTATATGATCAACAAAGACCATCCACTTCTTACCAAGCTGATCTGCATCATCCAGTTGCACTCTGGAGGATAGGTGGGACCAAACATCTCCACCCCTATTGGCTGGAGTGGAGTAAAAGATCCCACCCTCCTAATTATTCAGACAATTAAGGGACATGCTTAATTAACCACTTTTCATCTAATTCTTCATACAGAAATCCTTATATCTTGTCCAGCGGTGCCAGAGGAACTGCACAGGCGCTTCCGGTGGCCTGGAGTGCTATCTGGGTTGCTCCATCGTTGCCAGAGGTGCTCTGTCCCCAAAACACTATCTGGTGTTGGAGCAGACAGCGGGTTTTTAAACCACCAGTTGAGTCTGCCCTTGCCTTTTTGACAATCGGTGACCGCGCTTCGTGGATAGTTCCTCTATCTATGGCATCACCCGTCCCTCTTAGAGAAAATACTCAGGCCAGTTTCCCGTACACACATTACATAAAATCACATTTCAAAAAATAGTATAAATGTTGATTAAAGTGATTATTAGCAAACCTTCTTGACTTTACCTTTCTCTATTTGCATCTTTTGACCTCACAGATGATGTCCTGTTCTAGACCTTCTATCATCCCTTACATTTAAAATTGTGACATTTAATATGATTATAATAAAATATTCTTTGTGAATAACACAAGCATAGTATATAGAAACAGATTATATAAGTGTAAATATTACTGGAAAGACAGTCCTTATGTAAAAAGGAACGTAGAAAAACCCTCTGACTACCTGCCTACACTACCCATGCACTAATCATTCTACCTAATTTTTTTATCCCAAATCAAATACACAGTGGAGCTAACTCCCTCTCTAATCAAAAACAGAGTCAAAAGTATAAATCAAAAAGTAATAAGGTACCGTCTTTCCATATGATCTTTAACTGGTTACTTTACAGAAACTCGTCCAGCTCATCCAGGTCTGGGGCACTTGGGTGAATCTCTGCGTTGACACATCCAATATCAACTCCTGATGGTCTCACTGATACATTGATCATTTGTTTGGCAGCTGTACTGGCCAGCATTGATCTGAGGAAAGGCACAACACAACAAAACAACAGAAAGAAAACACCAACTGATACTGCTAATATTTTTCCCACCTGAATGAGCCAGTCTTTCCAGGATGCAAATATTGAGTCAAGCCAATACCCAAAGCTCCTGTCTCTCCCCGCATTGGTAGCAACTTCCGGTCTTAATTCTTTTATCTTCTTCATGTCCCTAGTAAATGATCCATCCGGGGCTGTGCCCGCTTAGGAATAAAGGTACAACAGTCAGTTTCAAACATTACGCACACACCTCCGTTTTCTGCCAGGAGCCAATTCAGAGCTTGTCTGTTCTGCCAGGTCATTTTGCTTGTGTCTTTTAGTTGTTCTCCTAGAGCTTCGAGTGCTTCATCCATGTAATTAATAAATCTCTGCTGGTTGTAATATATGTAATTAATCCATTCCATATTCTTATTTGGCTTTATCTATAGAAATATTAATTCAAGTCCTGCTGCTGCCTCGTCTCTAGCATATGGTTTCCATCTTGGCTGTAACAATCCATCACTAGATGGTTGAAAGATCCTTCTGGAATAGAGCCTATTGGGGTTGCTGTTCCTTTTCTGACATTATTTCACATTCATTTAAAAAATTCATCTACCCTTGTCTGTAAGTATGGGGACCAAAATCCCTGTCTTTTTATCTTTCTCAACATTTCCCCCCTTGCACAGTGATCAAAACTGTCTGTGCGCATCAAGAATCAGGATGTTTAGTAGTGGTAATGGAGCTATCATAAGTCCTTCCATGGCAATCAAATCTATTTTAATACAAATTCTGACGTTGTTTAGAAATATTGCATTTGGCTATCATCAATCTTCTATTAAAATCATCTATCATCAAATTTCTTTCTTTTTTTCTCTTTTTATATTTTTACTCACTTCCCCCCTTTGTGCGATGGTCAAAAAACCACGCACATCTTAAATTAAAAAGGTTTGCCAGTGTAATTATTTTAATTCCTTTAATACCTCATTTGTCCAATATAAAGTTGAGGGTGTTGCTGCCTTCTGGACTTATCTGATATAGACTTAATTTTATATTCAATTATCTATCCTAAATTTCAAGGTACGAATATCACTAATACAAAATTGTTAATACAACTCTGATGACAAAAGCTACTGAATATTGTGGTGTAGCATTCCCCATGTGACAATGTCCACGTCTGTGAACAACACAGCTGGCCGACATCAGTTGCCATTTGATTGTGTTAAACACCTCTGTCATAAACCTCACTTTTTTAATACATAATATAACAAATTATCTGGTAGGTCAACTGTTTAAAAGACTGATTATCAGTTTATCTAATCTAATTTGTCATTCATCTGTTCATTTAATTTCTCCTCATAATCTTTTAAATTACTTTAGATCTCATCATAATCTCAAATTCATGACCCACAATATCAACATCGTACAATCCCCGGTAATATCAAAATTTGTGATATCACGTGCTTATAATTTGTGTAGTAACTATTTTACTTCTCAAAAAATGACTATTGACCAAGATAGAGTGACCAGCATCATAGCTCTATCATCCACTTTTTTGTTGTTTGACACATTTTGTCCCCCCTTTTTTAATACAGAACTTACAATCACTCAAGCTTATACCAGCTACCTTGAAAGCAGAGCCCAAGCATTCGCTGTTTAATGAACAAAATCTTAAATAATCTAATTATGCATTTACTCTTGTTTTTGTTATTATTAATCCAATATTCTCTCACTCTGCTAAGTCCAGTCTCGGCTTTAATTAATTATTTAGTCATGCAAGCACTTGACTTCTTTTCTTTTAATTATATTATTAGCATTATTAAATGCTTACAGCTGGACTGATGTCTATGGAAAGAAAGCAAATAGAGTGTTAGCCTAACAGAACATAAAGAACTGCTGCTGGACCAGTGTATAACCAAAATACAACTAATATGGCCAATCAATGAAATTATAAGCGGTCTCTGTTGTGATCATTTAAGACGTATCACCTGTGCCTGCTTAAGAAAGGATGAAGTCCTTCTGCTTGGATCAGTTGAACTGGTTGGGCTGCTGTCATGTTTCTCTCCTCATCCAATGCATTTGATCTGTCAGTCCTCGTTCAAGGGTCTGGCGTCATGTTCTGACGCAGTGGTTGGACTGGATGCTATAGTCTCTCTGCCTCTGCTCAGCCTGGCTTTTGGCCAAGCAACGGAGGAGGCACATTTGAAGAATGGCAGGATGTTTTTTCTTGGTTGTTTCTCCATCAACACAGTCTTTGTCTATCCCAGCTCCTCAGAAGTTTCAACTTCATATTTTGAGGGAGGATGAAGGCCCACCAACCAAATGCCTCTTCTTTTCTCTGCAGCCGTGTCCTTATGTTTCTTGCTCTCACTTGTTGCACAGTCTAGTTGCTGTTGTTCATGTCGAGGCAGATGCCCCAAAAGCTGACTGGTGTCATCTGGAAAATGAACACTCAGAGATCCGCATTAATCAAATTCATACTTTATAAATTCTTCAACCATCTCTTTCAATTGTCCCTTAATTTCAGAAATCTCATCTGGTTGATAACAGCAGTTTCCCCATGCAGTTTTAATAAAGCAAGTTCTTCTTTGCAGAAAAGAGCAAGCATGTTCTTCTTTGCAGAATGCAGAAAATAGCAGCCTATCAGTCCGTCTGAGTTGCCTAATTTTCAGTCACATATATAGCATTTTTATCACTTGCTATTTCGATCCCTACTCCCTCAAGCACTTTAGGATTAAATTAATTACTCTCATTACTGTAAAATTCATATAATCAAATACAGTATATGTCTGTTAAAAGTGTTTGTTAAGCTTGGTCACCCAATCCTGCTCATTCAACACAATCAATGTATTATTTAAAATAACGCAATTCAAAAATCTATATTTCTACAATATATCAAATTTCAAACTGTCTCCCAGGGATAACAAGATACAAACATCATAGGCCATGACTTTATACAGTATAACAGGTCAATCATACTCACATCTAGCATGTCTCTCTCTTTTTCTGTATATACTTTATATATCTCCAAATGTCAGATATTTCTATAATCCTTTTTGTCACTTATTCTTTTGGGAACTGCACAAACCACTTATACAAAGTAGAATACTCCAGTATTTTTGATGGCCACCAGTTTGCACAATCCACCATATCAATCCTTGTTAGGCCTGCTTATTAATTCAATTTCCCTATAGACTGGTCAACTAACATTTATTCAATTTTAGTAGTTTTTTTTTTTCATGTTAATTTCTTATCATTTATTTTTATTGGTGTTTTCTCTGTAATTCTGAAACTAGCCTATTTTAATTCTGACTGGATTAGCAGAATTCACCAATCCTACTTGATCTGTTTGTAAACTGTTTTTGAACACTCGACTGTTGTCACAATTGATACAATTAACTTCATAAAAACCCAATTAAGCCAATTGAAAAATGTATGTGACCAATCATTAGACATTTTTGATTTGCAAATTTTTCAGTTAACCTTTGATTGTCTGTCTTTTGCTTTCAGAAATACATCTTTGTCAGCTCTTTTCTCAGGGCTTCCCTTTCTTTATCCATTCATCAGTCCCAGTGTCTTACTCTAAATCCTTCATTATATTTGCCAAACTTTCATTGGATGTCTCTCTTCTCTTTAGGCTTTCTTCATATGACCTTGGTGTTGCAAAACTAATATTTTGATCCTGGTATATCTACAGTTGATTAACCATTAATCTTAATTATCAGTGTTTTTCACACCTCTTTACCTTACAAACCCCAGATTACATCTATTCTTAACTAGTTTTCACCAAGATGGTCAGACATTTATTAAGGTATTTGATTAGTCTTTCTCTGGTATTTTAAAAATGCAGTTCCTCTATTACAGGTCCTCTGATGACAGTTACAAATAAGATCTCTCAAAGTGTATGGTACTCACTTTTTCTGGTTTATAAGCTAGTCAGAACTAGAAAAGTTGAACTCTTTCTCTGTCTCCCTCCTTTCCTTCATCTCACACCCACACAGTCTCACTATCTTTTTGCAGCCCCTCCTCTCTCTGTCAGAGGCAGCCCCTCCTTTCTGCCTCTCTTTCTCAGATCACAGTCACCGTTTACTTGTGCTATATGAGAGGGAAACAAGTGTTCTTTCATAATTTTAGTTTATCTTTATGAATGACTATCATAAATGAATATCATTATTTTTCAAACAGTCCTAATCTGTGCATTTGATGCGCACACACATACTTTTACTCTTTATTTTTCTTGTAACAATGAATAGACAAAGCCGAATTATTGTTCAGAATAGGCTGTTTTTCTCAGTCCAGATCACAGCTCCTGCAGTCAGAAGAATGGCCAAATAGACGAAAAATCTAAAGTATTAAAAATGTCACTTCATAGTCTCCCCATAATGTTTAATTACTCTTTATGGCATGTTTCTGAATTTAATTGCTCAAATACATAAATATCAAGTTTCTTCTTTCTTTGTTGTTTAAGATTTTTCTCCCCATCTCCTCTCGTACCCCTTCTATTTGTTCATCATTACATTTTTTTTCCATGAATTTCTACCCACTGGTATGCTTTGGGTTGCTTCTCAAAACTAGTCAAATTATCCACCAGTGCTGGTCTGATTTCTCCTCCCTATCTGACTTTAACGATTGTGTCATTTTCCCGCTGCATATGCATGTTCCTCAAAATCGTGGCTCCTCCCAAACCCAGAGACCAGGTGTACCATGCATTTCTTTTCAGGTATGTTATATATAATGGATTTATTTTTATTTCTAATGTAGTGAACTGTGAATCCAAAAGGGTGTTTTTTGAAAGGTTAAATTTGTTCAGGTTAGGTCTGAGTATTCTGGTTTTTTTTTTTTTATTATTATATATATATATATATATATATATATATATTTTTTTTTTTTTTTTTAATCACATCACGCCAATCCATTAAGGGCCATTCTTGCTCAAGATGATTCAAATTTGTGATCTTTGTCAATTTTTAAAGAGCTATTTTTTTCGTTGGTCTGTTAACTCCTGTCTCTGCACTTCGTCATCTATAAACTCATTTTCAAACCAGAAGTGATCCTTAATGCCTTTGGTTAGTTTTAATGCCTGTTTAAAGTTGTCTTCGTCCTCTCTTTCTCTCTGTACTCTCCTATCCTCTGCCTCGTAATGATCTCTCACTCTGGTCCACATGTGTTCTTATCTTCAGGTGTCAAAAGATTAAAAATAAAAAGATATCCCTCCTTAGTTCTTTATCTCAATCCAAACACACTTAGTTTGTTAGTAAATTCATTCACACACCCGGGTTTTCATTCACACACTTTCACCACACTCATTCAACACTTTGATACCTTCTTATCTTTCTGCCTAACAGAGGCTGTGTCTCTCTCTCAGGGTCACAGCGCTCAGACTCTAGTGAGTGTCCAAGCAAACAACAAAGCAAAAATTTTTTTTGGAACATTCTTTGCCTTCCAATATTTGCTTTTCTGTATTTTTTCTTCACTGTCTTGACTTTTGTCTTTCATCTATTTTCCAATTAGCTCATGTATAAATTTCTACTTCTCTGCAGTTTTCTCTACTATGTGCACTTTTCCAGCCGGCGCGCTTCTACAGCAGCTGCAGCATAATTCACACACACTTCTCTCCCACACACACTTTTCTCCAGCGCGTGCTCCCTCTTTACACACACACACTCTTCTCTTGGCGCGCTCTCACTCTAGCATACATACAATCTCACAGCACAACCACACACACTCTTTTTTTGTTTTAATCATTCACACAAATGAACCTATAGCACCTCTTATAGGTTCTCTCACAGCACCTCTTGTGAGAATTTACACATTCATACAAATGAACCTATAGCACCTCTTATTATGCTTGCACTCTTTTTCTCAATCTCTTTACTTTATTCTTCTATATTTTTCTCTTCTTATGCTACTCAACTTTTACTATATTTCTCTTTACTTCTTCTCTTAATCTTTACTCATTTTTCAAAAAGAAAAAATCTCAGAAAGTAAGCTCACTCTACTTCTCATATATAATGCTTTATCTCTTTTTCTTTTGTCTCACAATCTCATATACTTCTCATATATAATGCTTTATCTCTTTTTCTTTTGTCTCACAATCTCATATACTTCTCATATATAATGCTTTATCTCTTTTTCTTTTGTCTCACAATCTCATATACTTCTCATATATAATGCTTTATCTCTTTTTCTTTTGTCTCACAATCTCATATACTTCTCATATATAATGCTTTATCTCTTTTTCTTTTGTCTCACAATCTCATATACTTCTCATATATAATGCTTTATCTCTTTTTCTTTTGTCTCACAATCTCATATACTTCATTAAACTCTTTTTCTTTTCATTCATGCGCATGCACTTCTTCATCTTGATCCGAAACCTCGACTTTTATTCATTTCCATTTTACTTTTACTCAATTCAGTCTTTTTTAGGTTCGTTTTTCGGCGGGGTTTAATTTATCAAATAATAATAATTACCAACCAAGGTGACTGCTCTGTCAGGGACCACACGAAACAAATTTAAGCAAAAGCTGCTTACCTTGTTTTTGGTCGACCTTTTGTTTCGTGGGGTCACCGGCAGGGGTCGTCCACCACGGCCGCTCCCCTCTCGAAGCTCCTGGCTGGCTCGCCAATTATGTTGTGGCAAATCAGAAGTCTCAATTCAGTTTAGCAGAGTCAAGTCTTGGTCTTGTAGAAATTGCGCAGAGTCGAGGTTTCAGGTCTCAGAAGAATAACTTTATTGAGCAGGGACAACAAAGTGAGATGTGGCCAAGCATCTGAAGTTAAGTTGGTTTCATCCCAGCATATTATACCCTTTTCTTATCGTGGCTGCCCAATTAGTGTTTCTGCCCTTATCTCTTTTCTCCTGCTCCTCCTCTTCATTTCGCACCCATTATTGCTTACTCAGCCTTATTCCTGCTTTAACCGTGGCGAAACACGTGCTCATATGTTTTTTAAAAATAAAGTACTGTACACTTTTTATTATCAAGGCTAGGAGGTCAATAGGTTAAAAAACTAACTGTCAAATCCAATTTGATCCCTTTAAACTTATCTAGGGGGTTAATAGGTCATAAAACTAACTGTCAAACCCATTTGATGCCCTTTAATCTTATCTAGGCGGTCAATAGGTCATAAAACTAACTGTCAAACTCAATTGATGATACCTAGGCGCAGTCGTGTGACTCTGAACACCTGTTTTTACTATTTTTGCTAATTACATGACCATTTCTATAGATACGGCCTTCCATACCTTGTTGCTCTGCAGAGGAGCAGTTTAAAAGAGGAGCAGTTTACCATGACATGAATAATCAACCATCTGTATTTCTCTTTTTGAAGTGACTTAAGACAAGTGGATTTCTCCAACACGTCCTGTTTCATCTGTCTCACCTGTTTGCACCTCGTTATGTTTGATTCTTGCCTGTATTTATTTCAGTTCAGTTCAGTTAGTCTTTGTCGGTCAATGTTGCATGTTACCCGGTGTCTCCCTGTCTTCCTGCCTGTACCTTGTATTAAAATATTATCCTTGTGTGAATCTGGACTCCTCCTGTTCCTTCTGCCTGCTCCACACCGTGACACCACCAAGTTGGCCCCTAAACTAATGATCTTCGCAATGGAAGTAAATTAATCAAAACTAACTTTAGCTGGACAATAACTTTATCCAAATGCTGTTGTAAAGCCTAAACAATCTGTTACTGTAATTTCTATTACAACTGTAAGGCTGCTTTGAAACAATCATACTGGTAAAAGCGCTTTATAAATGAAGGTGACTTGACTTGACTTTAAAAACCATATTACTGTAATTGGCATAATTTTGTTTAAGATTTGCTAATGCAAGAAAGAGACTAGGCACATCACAGAAGTATGAAGTTTATATTTATTGTTTCATCTTGAAAAGTCTCTTGTGACAATCAGCATACTTTTTTCAAACGTTTCTGTACAGATAAGAGAACACTCAGTGCAATAAGACAAAGGACATAGGCTTTCTACCCGTCACAGTGCACATTTTACATACAAAGAGGATTGTACATAGTTACATTTCCAAACGGCACCCTCTGGCCACAAGAGAGTGAATTTCAAACAATCATCTTTATTGTTGATCTGCATTCAGCAAAGCTTGGAACACATACAAACAAACAGGCTACACTATCTCAGAACCTCCATGTTTTTTGAGACTGCAGGCCAAGTGCTACCTCGGTTATTTGCTCCCCTTAACCTCGAATCTTGGATCAGCTTTGTCAAACACTTTGACTACTATAAGGAAGATAAAATGGACCATCTGTCTCATACTGGGTCTCAAACACAATTTCAGCTGTTTGATAGTTTTATTTCTCCCCCAAATCCAAAACGCCTGTAAACTGGTCTCACCCAATGTGACCCAGTTACAGTGAGTACCGGTCTCCAAGGCAACACATTTTGTACAGGCATCAGTTTCTAACATGGAGGTCAAAGGGGGGAATGAGAGAAGGGGATTGAGAGGGCATTTTACTTCAAGATCCAAGTACTTTGGCAATGCAATGTTGCATTTGTTAGTTGCATTGTTTGTGCAAATGAATGACCACTTCAACTGATCTGAGAGGTTGAGGTAGAGGGAGAACTGTGTGTATCCAGGTAAAAGAATTGCAGCTCTCTTGTGTACAGCCTCTTTGTTTATGCAGCCATAATTCCTGTTGCCAGACCATTTGGCCATGTGTATTACATACAATAGCTGAGAGCTATCAGTGATTGCAGGTTTGTGTTGCTAATACAAATATTGTGCCAGTCTGAAATTTCCAATCAATCTACTCCATTAACATATGATAAATAATGGCATAGTCATTCTATACAAGACCATTGCGCAATCATTTTACAATTATCCATGTACACAATTCTTCAATAATGCTGAAATGCAAAAAATACAACTTTGATATTCCAGATTGTCATTAATTTCTGGGTGACCCTCCTTTGGAGGATTCTCACTGGCACCCGCCAGCTATTGCCACAGACCCAAAGAGGAGAGGGTCACCCTTTGTTTTTACAGCTCTTCACACACCATTTACACACAAAGCAGTTACAACAACCCTTAAAAGAGACATTTTCTGTTTAACACAGAAAATAACTGTTACCCTTTTTCTATGTGCAATGACCTGACCTTTAATCAGAGTAAACCATACTCTCTGAAACCTACCACTATAGAAACTAAAGGCAGAACAGAGTTTTAAAACTATGAAATCCTTCTCAAAGGACTTTGAAAAATGCATGATCTGTTTGTTTCTTAATATTAGACATTCAAATAAATAAACAAAATAAATAACAATAATGTGTGGAAAGGCAGCAAGAAGTAAACTAGCCCTAATCCAATCTCCATAACATCCAGTGTTAAAATAGAGTTCATTCGGTGTGGTTAAAATACCACAGGAAGGTCCTTTCCGGGGGTCATGAAATAGAAAGCTATTGATGAAAAGGTACTGACTTTTCCTCAATGTATTGCGATGTTAAAAAATAAATTAATGAATTCAAATGGAAATAAATTAAAGGTAGTAAAACAACAATTGCATTGGACTAACTATACATAATCTTTGCAAAGATATTCAATTTCATTTAGAAAATATCTATTGATGCTAGGTCATTAAGGAATTACATGGAGTATAAAAATATTAGATATTAACAATGATACGAAAACCTCATAAACTACAACCTCTGAAATATTGCTATATAAACCCTACCCACCCATTGTCAGGTGGGAGCACACTCCGATTGGCTTCAACCCTGCCTGAAAATAAAGAGCAGAGCATGACCCTAAAGTGCTCACAAGACCAAGTCAAATGGCCGTGTCCCAGAAGACAGTGGTCTGAGTTGGGTAGGGAGGTGGGCTGTACTTCTTCGTCCCGTTTGATTTCTTCCAACTGGGCATGGTAGGCAGGCTCTCTTTTTTGCATGGGCCACGGTCAGGAAGCCGTTGACGAGACCGGATCTCCCGGCAGAGGAGTTGTTTCCTCTCAATCATCTCCAGCATGGTGCTGTCACCATACAACCATGGCATAGGGGGCATCTGTTGGACACAAGGAGAAGACAGGCTGTCAGGTCTGATATTTTACAGCTGCACAAATGCAAGTGCAGTGATAAAGACAGTAGGCTACCTGTTGGACATCTGAAGGCTGTTTCTGAGGTGTGCCTATTGGAGATTGTGCTACTGCTGTGGAAGAAGACCATCCTGCTTTTGAAACTGTCTTCAGGTCTGCAAGGATAGATGAACAGATGAACCACAGGTTTAGAGCTGTCATTCCAACCACACAACTTTGCAATGCTTTTTGCGAATGTTCATTAAAATTATGTTAACATGAAACATGGACTTGTTAATCTATGCTGATAATGACGAAACTTGTGACCATAGTTGGCTAACGATGCTTTTGGGAAACGCACCTCAGGCTGATTTATGCTGGTTATTTCTAGCACATTTATAGTGAAGCTGATCAACCAGTTAATAAACCTTTTTAATCTGCTGAAAAAAACTTCTTAAACTATCCAAAGCTGGTTTCCCAGTCTGATGGAGTTGATCTGTTGGCTGATTTTAGAGAGGTTTCAGCACTCGTTTAGCTAGTGTTAGCTAGGCTGAGATAACAGCTGGATACAGAATTTGGCCCATCAGCAACATCAACTGACCAGCTGTCAAACAAATGCTATTCTTACCAGAGTTTGAGTTCCCCGACATTATATTCGGACTCATGGAGGATCGCCCGGTTCGATTGGATGACACCATGGCTGAAGATCCAGACCTTGTGTCCTTGTCCTGTGCTTTGGGTGGTTCTTTGTTATAGTTGCTTCTATCTTTCGCCTCATACCAGGGTAAATTCTCAGTTGTGTGTACTCCCCTATCTTTGCATTCCCGCCTGCTCGTGACATCAATGCCATTGCTGATCCTTTCCTTGCTCCCCCGCCTGCTCTCTAAGCTCTTCTCCTTGTCCTGACCAGATTCTGTGCCATGCTTGCCGCCATCTTTACTATTCCGTCGACTTTCCATGCCTGTTCTGCCCTGTTCCTTATTTTCATGTCTGTGAGGAAGGTCTATCCCATAGCAAACTTTCTCCCGACTGTCACGTCTGGTGTCATGACCATTTCGTAGCAGTTCTTTACTGTCTTGTCTGGACAAGAGTTCTGGAACAATACAACCTCTGTCTTTACTGCCCCGTCTGGTGATGGGTTCTGCACTGCTGCGGTGATCGGTCCTGTCTTTGCTGTCCCGTTGAGGCAGTACCTCAGCGCTACTGCCTCGATCTTTGCTCTCTTGTCGGTGAGGCTGCTCTGGGCCGTTACATGCAGTGTCCTTGCTGTCCCTTCTGGGTAATGGTTCAGCGTTGCTGTAGCTGCAGTCCTTGCCATCATGTCGAGATAAGGCTTCGAAGCCATTTTGCTCTTTGTCTTTGCTGTTCCGTCGATGCGAGGACTTGCCGCTGCTGCTGCGGTCTTTCTCTCGCTTGGATTCTTTGCTGTGATGGCTCCTCTCCTTGTGCTCCCGTTTGGACTCAGAACTGTGACCCTTTCCTTTGGTTTCACCTAGAAGAGATAAAACATTACAGATACTACATGAGTGACTTCATGCAACTTTTTACACTGACACATTAAAAAAACACACACATTTGATAACTCTTTATTTCAATAGTCCAGTTTAGACATTCCACTAACTATATGTATCTTTGCAACTACATGTCTGTTAACTCTCATTCGAGACTGTCTGCTTAATATCTGCTAACACACCATTGTTATGGTCTCCCAACAGACATTAACGACAACAGTAACTTTGCAAGTACATGTCAACTTTCTACTAAACCTAACCTAGGTCCATTATGCAATATTGACAGCTAGTGGTTGAAATCTTTACTGCAGTCCGAATTAAAAAAAATGTTATAGAGAGTTGTTTCCCTCGCCCCCTCCTCCTCAGACTCAACGCTCATGCGGGTTGCCAGATTGATGACAAGCAACTGCAATCTCTGATCCAGTTTAAGCGGCCGCTTAAATGCGCTGGTTAAATGAAAGATTGGATGGGTTCACTCCTTCAGAAATTACGTCATAACTTTGCAGCTGACATATAGTTGCAAAGTTACTTCTCGTTAGAAGAATGACTAAAGTGGACCATCAAAATAAAGTGCAAACATTTTCTGTTGCAATATTGCAATTTGGTCACTAGGTGTCCCTGTGAATTCATAAAGTACTTTGTTGGTCTGTGTTCCTCTTTGGACTGTGTGTGGCGTCGTGTCAGTGCATTTGTGACAGATGTGGCACACACATTAAATATACAGATGTGCTGCATAATACTACCCTAATCTTCGGAAATGTATTGATGTTTCTTTGAAAAGATGTAAATAATTTTTTTTTTTTAAATTACATTAACAAATTAACTTAAATTGGTCTGTTATAACACTATATTGAACTTGGATAAGATTTTGTGCGTGTGTGTGGGTGTGTGTGTGTGCGCGCGCTAACCATTAGTGAGATGAGTCTGAGCCACATAATTTCCTCAACCTCATGTTGTTCTAAACAAGCATTAATTTTTTCCTTCTTTAAAAATAAGATATTTTCAAAACTGTCTCAATTCACTTTCATCGTATCTACAAAATAAAAAAAATAAAAATAAATCTACTTTTGTGTTCTGTAGACAAAATGACTAGAAGACAAGGAAATGACAGAATAATTTTTTTTTGGTGACCTATACCTTTTTCTACTATAACTATAAACTATACGATTTTTTTTTTTTATGGATACACACACACCTTTCTATTCTACCTTTCTCTGCCCTCTGTGTGCTGCCAGGTAGTATTGTTTAAATGTGTGGTAGGCCTGTTCTTTGCTTACAACACCATTAATGAGTGGGTTCATAAATAGGTCACGCACTGTTTTCCACAGTGAAGGACAGATGATACTCTTGCATCAGCACAGCCATAAACTGTGCCAACGCAGTCTTTGCATGAGACAAAATACAGGTGCGGCACAGGTGCAAGACTCAAATAGGCCATATGGAAATGTGCTAAATCAACCATCCCGACAACAATAGATACACATTTCATGAGTAGCAGGTAAAAACCTAAAGCCATATGGCAACCAGGGGCCAGTTGCATAAACTATAGTCTTACAAGTTAGTCATCCAATTTATTTTACTGTAAGACTGTTCATAAATGTTTTAAGTCAGTTACATATATATATATATATATATATATATATATATATATATATATATATATATATATATATATATATATATATATATGTGTTGATTAGTCTATTTTGAATGAAATGTAAGGCTGATAACCCCTAACTAACTGCTAGGTAACACTTTAGAATACCGCTCCTTGATTAATGAATAACTACACAGGAACAAATTAGTAACGCACTCTTAACATTCAAGTAACTACAATTGCAACAAGAAACTCTGATTAAGGATTTAGTAAGTAATAGTGCTCAGTCGAATGTGGTAGTTCAGCTAATCAGTATTTCTGTCAGGACCGCTATCGTCAAATACGATTGACAATTAGCATGAAATTTGCTTCGTAGTATAGGCTATATCCCTAAGTGTAAGTACGTAAGTGTATTGTGTATCCCTAAGTACGTAAGTGTATTGTACAGTATGTGAATCAAGTTAGATAATATCCAACTTCATATAGAGAGCTGTGTTATAATACAGTTCACATTTTAGCTATAATATAAAATCATGTTAGATTTGCTACACAATCTTTCTAATCAATATTAGGCAGTTATCATGTTTTTCTATTTAGATTACTGATCCAAATATTTAGAAGTTCCTTTAGAAGGATGTAGTAACACTTGAGTCATTACTAGTGGGTTACCGTTACCTTGTACTATAAATTCTGCATTATTCATGTTAATTATGAACCTGTATACCAGTTTTTTGGGAGGTATGAAAATTATTTTTAACAGGGTTGATTTCATACAAACTTATAGCTTCAACGGCAGCAAAAACCTTCGTTTCACAACCTCAAAGCTTGTGGTCAGTCTACCTCGGATGGTTTAGACATTAGGGCTGATAATCTAAATCCTTATCAATAAATACTGTTGTTCTGTATCCCTACTCCGCGTTCCGGAAGCAGGAAGTGTGACATAGGCCTATTCTAAAGTTGTAGCAATAAAACTAAGGAAATAAATAACTATTTTAAGGAGTGAATGCCTAAGTCCTAGAAACTACTTCACTCTAATCTCAGTATGAGCTGTGTGAGCTTTAAAGGGATAGTTCACCCAAAAATTAAAATTTTGTCATTACTTAGTCACATGCCGTTCCAATTCTGTAAGACCTTCGTTCATCTTTAGCACACAAATGAAGATATTTTTGATGAAATCCAAGAGCTTTCTGACTTCTCTATAGACAGCAACACAACGACCACTTTTAAGGTCAAGAAAGGTAGTAAAGAAAAGACATTGTTAAAATAGTCGATGTGACTCCAGTGGTTCAACCTTAATGTTATGAAGCTACGAGAATACTTTTTGTTTGCAAAAAAACAAACAAAAATAACGACTTTATTGAATAATTTCTTCTCTTGTGTGTCAATAACCACAATGCAGCAGTTCTACGTCAAAACGCTTATGCCAATTGGCCATTGCTGTCCACGTGAGCTCCACGACACATGCATGTGATGCTGACGCAGGAGCCTGCGTCCTGACATAGAACCCGGAAGCGCTGCAGTGTGTTTACTACATCAGAAATGTAATACGTCAACAATGCAAATAAATTCTTCAATAAAGTTGTTAGTTTTGTTAGTTTTTTGGGCACATAACGTATTCTCGTCGTTTCATGACATTAAGGCTGAAGCACTGGAGTCACATGGACTATTTTAACTGTTCTTAACTACCTTTCTGGACCTTGAAAGTTGTAAATGCCTGATGCAGCTCATGAGACCGAAACATTGCTAATAAAATTTTTATACTCATTTGCAAGTATTGATAGTGTGCAGTATTTCCTTGTCTTCACTTGTCTTCCTTTTTCTTTTTTTTCTTTTTTTGGGGGGGTGGGGGTGGGTGGGGTGGATTTCATTAAACATATCTTAATTTGTGTCCAGAAGATGAACAAAGGTCTTATGGGTTTGGAACGACATGAGGATGAGTAAATGATGACATATTTTTCATTTTGGGGTGAACTATCCCTTTAAGTTAAAGGCTTCATTTTTTTTACTTAAGCACAGTACGTGCCTGTGCAGGTATAACCCTGCTCACTGGCTTTGCACATTCATTCCACTGAGTGCTGAGAGCTTCACACATTCACTGCAATGGGGCTGCCGTGACCTGCATTGGGATTGGTCTTTAAATCCTATGAGGGAGACTCTGCAGGGAGACCCCCCCCCCCCCCCCCCCCCCCCCCCCCCTATCCCGTCAGTCCTCTTTTAGATGAGCAGTAATGTGCCTCTGCATTTGAAGTGCAGTGGACCATTTCTGCAATGGGATGAAGTGATATCAAGGCATTTTTGACAATCTGACCTTTTTTGAGAGGTGTTGCCGAAGGTGAGATTCAATGACTAACAAATGACAGTTCACATCTTGTAACTAAGATTAAGTAATGCTAGTCAACATGTATGGAAAGATTGCGATTACAGTTTTTTCAATATTCTGCTCTGAAGCTACAATCAGTGCATTGATGATGCAAAAACATGCAAAGTGAAGCAATAAGCTACAAAAGACTGTGTTAAATTGATTTTACCATGGATAGGAGGTGTTCTTTTTATAATTGTCTGTTTTAAATAGTCTGTTTTATAATTGTTGTTTTTTTTAGCCTTCTACACTTCTACACATGTAAGTAAGCCATATAAAACTGTCTGCAATATGATCCCACATAATTAGATAATTCCCTTCTAATGGAAATTCCCTTTCGTAGTCACTTTCGCATAGAAAGCCAATCCTCTTCGAGTATTTAACAACGAGCCAATGGCATGAAAATGCCTTGGGGCTGTGGAATTTGCAAAGCGTACCTCCGCCCCACCTCCGTGGGTATAAAAGGAGGAAGTGAACGCAACCGCAGTATGTTTTCGCTTCGGAGCCAAGAGAACTTCTTCACTCCACAAGCCAAACAATCTGAGTTTACTATGGTGACTCACCTCTTCGAGACGAGCGAACTCTCTGGTGTTGGTGTGACGGCGGTACCCAGCGAGTTTCACACTGCCTGCGATCTGAGCAGTGGTCTGCCAGTGTGTGTGTCTCTCCCTGGTCGCTTCAACGTCCGCGGAGTTTTCTCCTCTCACTGAAAGAGTGTGCACGCGGCACGTCTTTTTAAAGACGCGTCTTTTTGAAGACGATCTGCCCGTGTATTCCTGAGGGCGGTATTCTGATAGAGTCAGCTGATGGGCGCAAGCGCTGTTTGACGTGTTTGGGCTTTGATCGCGCTCAGACAGCGCTCGTGGGTGTGTCACGTTCTCTCAGTGGGAACGTGATCATCGCAATGTATAATGGTTGAGACTCAATGAGCTCAGTAGAGTGAGAGTCCCCTCATCCACAACACGAACCATTTTCTCCACGTGAGATAATGCTTTGGCTAGTGGCCAGGGTGACCAAAAAGATGTTAGGTCTGGAACTAAACCGACGAAACTCATTCGGTCCCCCAGCTGATGAAATCATGTTTATCGCCGCATCACAAGGTGAGCTGGAGTCTTTGGAGATGGCTCGTCTGTGCTGCTGTCCTCAGATGTGCTAGCATACCGAGCTTGATTCAGGGCTCACAGCTATGCTTCCCGGGCTGCTACGAGTATCGGGTTTGTGTGGAAAATTCTGCCATATCCCGAGCACTTAAGGCTGATGATTGTTTTTTGGGGGTGGCGAACCCAAATCCTTTCTACCCGGATGTGCATGAAGAGGCCGTGAGATTGTGGAAGTCTCCTTTGACTTTTCACGATCACTCAACAGCCTCTTCCGCCTTCTCTGCCCTCCTAGAGGCCGCAGTTTAGGGTGCACTGGGGTTCCCCCCTGTGGAGTGTTCTGTGGCAACACTTAGGTGTCCCCACAGTGCCTCCACCTGGTGTGGCAGCCCTAGGCACCCCTCCAATGCCTGTAGGTTCTTGTCTACTCCAGTGGCGGGGATCTATAGAGCTGCGGGGCAGGCTGCCACCTCACTGTATGTTATTGTCATTCTCCTGGGTGTTCAGTGACATGCACGAGGGTAGGGCTGATTCAGAGCTCATCCTTGAGCTGCATGTCGTCGCCGACCTCGCTCTACGAGCGATGAAGGTGACCGCATGCTCCCTGAGTCAAGTGATGTCCACGCGTGTGGTCAGACACTTTTGGCTTAACCTGGTTGATGTGCGTGAGGTTGAGTGAACCAGTTCTTCAACTTTCCCATATCCCAGGCTGGCCTCTTCGGCGGCGCGATCGAGAACGCTGCCCAACAGTTCTCGGCCGCCCAGAAGCGGACTGTGGCTTACCTGACTCTGCGGTTTCTGCTGCTACTAGCCGCCGGCTCAGATGCGTCAGTCCGCTTGCCGCCGAATGCACCCTCCTGCGACTTCCGCCCCCTCCCGTCCGGCCCCAGCAGCTCCGGGCCGTGCCGTGAGGTGGTCGCAGGGAAGCGCCCCTGCCCGTACCAGCCCCGCTGCGACGCTCCCGTTACGGGCAGCTCGGGTATGGTTTGCAGTTCTTCAGGGAGTGGTCAGGCCCACTCCTTCCCCCGGTGGAGGGCTGGGGGAGAATCTTTTCTCAAAGAGCTGCATTCCATCTCCGAGCACACAGAGCAAGGTGAAAGTGCGCAACGGCCCCGTGCCTCGCCACTCTCATTCTCCTCTGTCTCTGAGGGTGCGGATGGGAGGTGTGTCGTCCCTGGACCACGCCACTCCCCTCCCCCTCTATCGCCAGACCCCCGGCAGAACAGACCCCCGTGGAACGCTGGTCCTTCCCTGGTCTCTTCTGTCAGGGAACGGGGCTCGACTGTGCATCCGCACGGGGTAACTCCTGGGTGCATGCCGGTCTCCCCGTCCCGCTGCCCCTCCGGGGGAACGTCTGTGGTTCGCATGACCCCGCTGGTTCAGTTCCTGGGAGCTTGCCTAGAGCTCATTCTCCGTTGACGAAGCGTGCCTGGAGTTTGGGCCGGGTTACTCTCACGTGTTCTTGAGACCCCGGCCTGGACATGTGCCCAAGGTTCCTACCTCTCCCTTCTGGGACCAGGTGTTGAACCTGCAAGCGCTGCCCTTGGAGGAGGCAGACCCAGCCTTGGCACTGCTCTGTCCGGTACGTGCGCTCCGCGCCTACGTTGACAGAACGCGGTGTTTCAGGACCTCAGACCAGCTCTTTGTCTGTTATGGGGGGAGCCAGACGCAAAGCAACGGCTGTCTCACTGGATAGTGGACGCCATTGCTTTGGCTTACCAACAGCAAGGTCGACCGTGCCCCCTTGGTGTGACGGCCCACTCCACTCGGAGTGTGGCTTCCTCTTGGGCTTTAGCGCATGGCGCCTCGCTGACAGACATTGGCAGAGCTGCAGGCTGGGCGACACCAAACACCTTCGCAAGATTCTATAATCTGCGAATAGAGCCGGTGTCCTCTCGTGTACTGGACCCGCTTAGGTGTCTTCGCTTGCTCGCCATTCCACTCCTCGGACTGGATAAGTGCGATATTTCCTCTGTAGTCTTCCATTGAAGCCTTGAGTCCTCCAGCACTTACGATGCGGGCACCACTGCTTTTGCTCTGGATGCCGGCTAGGTGCCTCCATGTGCACGGTTCCCTATGGTAACTGTCTCATGTGTATTATCCACTGTAAACCTCTCTGAGCATGTGTCTTCCCTTGGCAAGCCATCTGCCACTCCTGGAGTTAAGTTTCTAGCCACCCTAAGCAGGTTGGTGCTCCAGTGATCTCCATATGTAGTCCCTAACACGGCCATATGTGTATTCCTAAGTCCTTCTACGGTAGGCATTTGGTAGCATGTCTCTCCCGGGATATGTTTCCCAGTGTACCTTGGTATTCCTGTGTCAAAGTAGGTATCTCCTGTGTAAATTAAGTAAGAAGGAGTCCAGACTTTCGCAGGGCACTGGAAGACAGCTATGAAGATGGCGTGATGGCATAGACCCCCATTCTCCATCACTCCTGACGTAACTCGGAGTGACTACGAAAGGGAACGTCTCGGTTACGGATGTAACCCTCGTTCCCTGAGTAGGGAACGGAGACGTTACGTCTCCTTGCCACTTCTGCTGTATCGCTGGGTAGACGCCGAGTTCAGTCTTGGCTCCTCAGCGAAGACATACTGCGGTTGCGTTCACTTCCTCCTTTTATACCCACGGGGTGGGGCGGAGGTACGCTATGCAAATTCCGCAGCCCCAAGGCATTTTCATGCCATTGGCTCGTTGTTAAATACTCGAAGAGGATTGGCTTTCTATGCGAAACCCCAATTCTCCGTCACTCCTGACGTAACGTCTCCGTTCCCTACTCAGGGAACGAGGGTTACATCCGTAACCGAGACGATATTCACAGTTAATAACCAACACAACCTTAACTGTCGCCACATGCAGATAAACACTTATGTACCTTTACAAAGACTTAAAGGAGTTCACTTTTAAAAAAAAAACTTTTGCTGATAATTTGCTCACCTCCATGTCATCCAAGATATCCATGTCATTCTTTCTTCAGTCGAAAAGAAATTAAGGTTTTTGATGAAAACATTCCAGGATTTTTCTCCATATAAAGCACTTCAATGGGAACCAAACGGTTCAAGGTCCAAAAGACAGTTTCAGTGCAAACTGCAAACTGTTCAAAGGGCTTTAAATGATTCCAGACAATGAATAAGGGTCTTATCAAGTGAAACAAAAAAAAAAAACAAAGTTTAAGTTTTAGAAGCTCAAATGGTCGCCTGCTCTGTTCTGTGATGCACGTTCGTGACTCGCCTATTCGAACTCGTTCATCAAAATTAACAAATCTTTTCCTGAGTCAACTCGTTCATTTCGTTCATTGAATGAACCAAATGACACGAAAAAAGATTCGTTCATTTTGACAAACAAGTTCGAACAGGAGAGTCACAAACGATGACATGTCTTGGATGACATGGGGTGAGTAAATTATCAGCAAAATAATTTTTTATTTTTTTTAAAAAGTGAACTCCTTTAAGTCTTTAAGTGAACTACTCCTTTAAAATAGTGCATATTCTTAATTTTTCTTAGGTGTGTGTGTGTGTGTGTGTGTGTGGGGGGGGGGGGGGGTTAAGAGCAGTTGTTAAGAACTGTTTACATATTAAAAGAAACATGCTACTGGTTTAATGGATCAAGAGCAGATCTGGGGAATGAATTCTGACCTTAGCCTCTTAATCTCTCTGGATTAAATTTTATGATCTATGTCAGTCTATAAAAATCTGATTAAACTTTTGTGCAGAGAGAAACTTGCCAAAACACAAGGGCGGAATGGATGTCATTTTTTTCTATAATTATTATTATAGCAAGGTGTTAGGTCCAGCACAGGGTGTCTTAGAAACTTCAGAAATATATAGTGAATATTATAGGATGTAATGGACAACTTTCATAAAATAATAGTAAAATAATAAAATAGGCCTACAAATCACTCAATTCCCACACTAGTTCTCTGAGTCCCAGCAAAATAAAAGTCTTCACATTACAAAGCACTAACACTTTATTTTGAAAGTCCACTTTACACATTCTACTAACAATAAGTAATTTTGGAACTAGCCTACATGTAACCGGCAAGTCATTAGAGTATTAGTAGACTGTCTGCTTAATATCAGCCTAACACTTTCTACTAATTATGAGTAAATGTACAAGTATGTCAACTTATTCTACTAACATTAACCATAACCACTACTAACCTACTAGTCGAATATTACTCTAATGAGAGTTAGTAGTTGCAAAGTTAAGTAGAATGTCTGCAGTGAAGTATCGTAATAAAGTATAACCGATAAAATTACTGCAAAAATACAAAACTTAAAATCTGTTGTTGGTATATTTGTGCTAATTTTAGTCCGATTTAGTCAGTTAAGTCAGTTGAATTAAGTCACTTATTATTTCATTTTACTAAATGTGTTTTGCATGAATGTTGAACACTAAATGTTTTTGCATGATGTGTCTTTTATGTAACTAAATACACTTGAGCGAACGTTTGAAGGTTTTGACACCTGAAGGTGAGTTACAATTACTAAATTAGAGATTAGATATTTTAATCTGAGAAATATACAATTGCACTCACTTTCTCCCGGCTCCTTGCTCTTTCTGCCACTGGTATTCTTTTTCAGCATGTTCCTGCCAGTGGTGAAGAGGTTGGTGAGCTCATCCAGTGGGCTAGTAGGCGTCCGCGAGCGTGCTACTGAGACGTTCTGCATAGATCCGTGATGCCGCCCCCCTGAGCTTGAATCCTGTGGCGGGGATGCCTTTCCGTGAGGTGTGGCCGAGGCGCTGCGAGGAAGGCCTGCTGTGGGAAATGGCCCGTCAAAAGGCGGTGAGCGCATGAGGCTGAGGGGCGTCAGGCAGCGGCCCATACTGACAGGTGAGGGGCAGGCTGAGTGGCTGCGCTGATAACCGTGTGAAGAGGAGGAACTTTTATAGAGGGCACAGGGCAACGGCGGCGCCGACGATCGCCCAGATACTGTTAATGTAGGAGTGGCTGTTAGCTCCCTCTCGGCACGTCTTAGGTGCGATGTAGAGGCAGAGCCGGAAGGTTCCAGAGAAGTTGGTGACTTGCCATAAGAGCCATTCTCTAACATAGGAAGCTTTGTTACATCAAGAGGGGTGAGTGGGGACTCGTCTGAGTTGGGCGAGCACTGAGCAGGGGCAGGAGGGAAAACCAGTAAAGGCGGCCTGTGGGCCAACAAGTTGGGGAATGGGGCGGGGATGTCACAAAGGAGGGGCGTGCCTCGAGGGGTGGTACAACGGCTCAGGGGGGCATGGATGTCAAGCTCAGGTGGGCAGGGTGTGGTACACTGCGATCGACAGCTCAAAAGATCCCAACGGGAGTCAAACTCGTCAAGGGTGGGGTACTTCATCTCTTCATAGACAGCCTCACCCGGCTCGTCTTCGTCAGCACGAGGGGGCGGTTCTTGGCCCACGTTCCCAGACATCTCAATGTAGATGGGTTCATCAAAGTCTGAGTCCTGTGGGCCCTGCGGCTGAGGAGGAGAAGGGACTTGGCTATCCCTTGAGAAGATAGAGGGAGAACTTTTTGAGCCATGATTGCGGATGTAAGACTCATCAAAAGAAGTGCTCAGTTGTGTGTTGGGATTCCTTTTAGGTTTTGGTGGCGGAACTTTCCTGCAGTCCTCACTGCAGCCTTGTGTTCCTGAGTAAGCAGGAAAAAAAATAAAAAGAAAGATATGGGTTACCATAGTAGATTACCAAGATAGAGAGTTTGAGTCATCTGCACATAGGATGATTTAATAACTTTCAATTATTCAGATGCCAGATGGTCCGGCAGTCCAACTCAGTCACCAACTTTATCACCAATTCCATACACGCACACAGTAATATATTTTATATGACATACAATAAAAAAGCTGGGGTTTTTTAAATACACACATCGGCAAACACAATCTGGGCACTCCCTCAAAAGTGACACACACGAGCATAGATGATAATCTTGTAAACAAACCCTACTGTTCCAACTCCCATCTGAGAATAAAAATGATAAAATGCCTTGATTTCCAGTACTGAGAAAAGATCATATTTCATCATATCTAAAGAACGTTTTCTCATAAACATTTTGTGGGTGTGTAAAGAGAGAAAATAGTACAATTGCACCAGATTAAAGTCATTTTTCATGTTCTCTCTGGGAGTCAGTGAATCCCTTTGCGCATGCCTGGAGAGAAAAAAAAAGACTATATGTGTGTTAATTCAGTGAAAGTGAAGACTGGTGGATCTTGAGATCCGTTTCATCGCCTCTGATTGTGCTCTTCCTCCTGCTCTCTGCCTCTTCCCTCCCTAAGAGTGGATGTGTTTACCCTCGCCCCCTCTCCTCCAGGGGAACTAAATCTAGGTCAATCGCTACTCCTGAATGAATTCTGCACTGGTCCCTCCCCCCACACACCCCCACCTCCCGCTTCAACAAGCAACTGTCCTCTGAATGAGGGACATCCCCCACTCTTTGGTGTGCATTGGCCAAAGCGCTGTTGAGCTGGCTGCCTGCCTATTCCTCATTGGCTGTTGCCGCGCTCTAACTTCCTGTCACCTCGCTGACGATTGGTGGAGGCTGATGTCTGATGTCTGGATTGGTTGAGCAGCTGGGGGTCTCTGTTTCTGTGGGCTGGTTGCCGTGGCATTGAGGAAGATCTGCGTGCACACTGTGATCCCTTCAAATTCTGACGAAAAGCAACTCTCACAGCATACGTCAGTACTGCAGAAACATAAATCGACTTAATATTTTTGCAGCCTGCAGCTTTGGCTCTTTGACGTATGTTTGACGTAACTCACTGGAGTTTTGGAAAATTAAACCAAAGAGTCTGAACTGCTTTTGTATCTGTGAGGGTAACATAATTAACATTAGAATCCTATTTTGCAAATACTGCATGCCATGCATCTATGGAAAGGGTTGCATCTCTTGTTCATTTCTACAACTTAAAATTAACACAAAAACACACTATGCTTGTTTACTACTTAAAAACAAAAAGAGAGCGATCACTACATGGACATAAATTGATGGGCTTGTTGAGATCTGCATGAGGATATTCCATGGGGCAGTGTTGACATAACATGACAAGAGTGGGTGTTATTGAGAACAGTCAAGAACTCAGTTGAATTAACCCCTAAATTCATAGCTCATTCAAAAAACTGCTCTCATATTCACAATCACTTCGCTATATGTTAATCATGAAAGGGTGGAATGGGTATACCCAGTTGGACACAGCTGCTTTTATGAAATGGCAGCAAAAGCACTGCTCAATAAAGAATTAGATGTACAGCTGAACAGAATAAACCAAATACTTAAGGTAATTATGTTTGCTGTTAAACAGTTTGGGCCCTATCATTCACCCAACACAATGCAGCGTTAGGCGCGACGCTAGTGTGTTTTGCTAGTTTCATCCCAACGCAGTTATCATTTTCACGTCTTTCACCACATTTTTTAAATAGCAAATGCATGTTTGCCTTTTTGTGCGCCCATGGACGTGCTGGCCTGAAATTGTGGTGTGTTCAAACGCATTGTTGGTGCGTTGCTATATTGAGGCAACTGAAATAGACTGTGCCATTGTCCAACTGAAACCTGGTCTAAAGTCAAGGACGCAATTTATTTATTTATTTTTTTGTTATTTAAAGAGTGTGTGAGTAATATGCGCCTATAGGCTATAGACCATTTTGCAAGATGTAAACAACACTTGTCCAGAATCACTTCCTGTTTCAGTTTGTAAATGGTTTCTTTATTTCAAATGTAAAGAAAACATCTTAAAGTTGTGTGTTTAACTTTTTGATTCAGTTATAAATGTTGGTTGTATTTTATTCCAATGTTTTATGTAGTGTTAAAAAACTGAAACAGGAAGTGCTTCTGGACCGGAGTTGTTTACATCTCACAAAATGGTCTATAATCAGGTCCACAATGCGCATACACTTTGTCCTGTTGATGATCTGCTTGCTCGCTTTAACCTCGCACATGACCAGATCCGTTTCCTCGCTAGAGAAGCATTCAGTTTTTTTCCCTTGCAAAATCCGCCATGTAATCCGCCATGGTGTGAGCGCAACTGGCTTTTTAAGGGAATTGGAGATGAGACTCTGATTAGTTTATTGCACATTATGCAGAAAACACACCTATTACTCATTAAGAGAAAGAGACAACCCATAGGCCATTTTTCCTGTCTTTAAACCAGCAAGTGGATTTGGACTTGCCCTAAGTGCACTTGTGCCATGCGCTTTAGACCAATGCACTTAGATCCTTAAAACAGGGCCCTTTTTGTTTACCAGGTAACATTGCAATTTGTTGTATGAATATATAAAGTGTTTATTTATATATTTACTTGTTTTATTTTTTATTAAATATTTTCTTTTACTTTTTTAGACCTATTTGCCACCTTTATTGATAAAAGATTGGTGAGAGGACAGAAAATTGAAGGCTAAATAGTAATTTAGCAGGCACTTTACATATCACCTATAACAAGAACCTGCTGTGACTGAAAGGAAGTGCTGGGAGACAATTTTAGGGTCAGCTGGATACACCTTTACTCAATGTACAAAAATGTTGTCCTGCACCTGGAGTACTATGAAACATCACCTACAACAGTCTTGTTTGCACAGCTTAGTCCAGCTAAGACTTCACATTATTTGACTATTCAAAATTATGGTACTGTCCACATTGTTGACTCAATGTGTGTTTGCTTTTAGCCAAGATTCAATTGAACTAATTTTTCCAACGCGTTCTCATCCTAGGGCGTCATATAGTGACACTTTTGAAATTTTGTCTAAATCCAATGCACATGGCACCCTTTAGCATCAATATAACCCGCACAGAGCTTTGTTCGGTTATGGTAGGTTTAGTTCTGGGGTAGGTTTAAGGTTAGACCACTAGGAGGCGCCTTCTGGCCCATATGTATCTGCGTCTCATGTTGACGCTAAAGGGTGCCATGTGCGTTGGATGTAGACGAAATGTCAAAAGCGTCAGTATATGACGCCAGTATATACGGGCTGAATTTTTTTAACATCAGCTGGTGTATAAATACAGAATCAGTGGATCTCAACAGGAAATGTGAAGCTTGGATTAAACACCATAGCATCTTACCGTCACACCTCTCCGAATCATCGCCTTTACACCCGGTGGGACTGAAGTCCACAGCTTCAGAGGAGATGCTGAGTTTAGTGCTGGGGTCCCGCCGGGGCTTGGGTGGGGGCTGCTTACGGGATGTGGGGCTGCCCTCCTCTTCCACTCCTCCCACGGAGTGCAGGGACTGGGAGCGAACGGCGAAGCCCGGATTACAGGGGGGCTGGTGCTGGTGCTGGTGTGGGGACACGTGTTCCGCAGGGGCTGGCATGCTCATTGAGCCCATTCGCAGATGCTTACCCTCGACGACCACCTCTTCCCCCCTGAGAAGAGTCCACACGTATAGGAATAAAACAATTCATGGATGAATTCTGTGAAGAGCAGCATTGAATGATATATGGTAACACTTTATGATAAGGTTCATTAGTTAACATTAATAACAGGCTATATTGAGCAACACATTTACTAATGTTAACAAATACAACCTTTGATTTTAAAAATGTATTAGTAAATGTTGAATTTAATATTAGATTAATAAATGCTGTAGAAGTGCAGTTTATTATTAGTATATGTTAACTAATGTTCAGTAATAAACCTTATTGTAAAGTGTCACCATTCAGTCAGTTTATTTACATTTTTACATTGAATGTAATAATAATAGAATATAATAATAAAAATGTAAAAACTCTGTTTTATAGTTGCTATACTGAAGTACGGAATTTTAAATTCAGTTTGTACATTAACAAATCTATGTAATCCACAAAAGAAAACGTTTCTACAATATTTTGGATTATTTAATTATTTTGAGCATCATTGATACAGGCTCATGAACTTTACAGTCAACTGCACTATAGTTTTCTAAGAATTTGTCGGCCTCTTACAGTAATGTGTCTTATCTAAAACCACGTAGTGCTGCTAGTAAATCGTGCTGATGTGTGTCTGTCCACGTAATTAGCAACGCACTGGTGAGATCTGTGATGAAGTTACTCATCTGAATGAATGGCTTATTTAGAGCTATTGATTTTTGTTTAGCACCCCTTCCGACTTGTAATGAGACGGTAAAAGGCCCTCGACATAGGAATTAATTTTTAAAGTAGATATTTTGATTGCACTTTCATGGAGCTTGACCAATTGGAAAAATAAAAAATAAAAAACTAACTTTGTGACGGAATATAAGCCTAAAATAGCATGAAGATAATTTTCCAGGATTTGATGCAATAACGACAATGTTACAAATATAAGACATCATGCTCTATGGACTGCATTGGAAAATATCTTTGATCTTCCTTGGTATCTATTCTAAATTTTAAACTCATGCTTTCTATTTACTCCCTACTATATCTCAGTTTCTATTGCACTGGGTTTGTAGCCCTGAACTCCTTTGGTTCTTCTGATGTCCTAAATCAAAAGTCTCTGTTAAGTTCTCTCTCTCGCTCTCTCTCCCTCTCTCTATTCCCTAAATATTTCTGTCCCACAAATGAGAATGACTTTACTAGTCATTAGTTTGATTTCAAGGCCGTACATCTATTACCTGAGCATAAACATGTGTTTGTGTAACTTGGAAACTTCCGCACATACAGCTGCTGAACAGCAGGAGTCTCGAGAGAAGGGTTCATTGGTCAGGGGCTTAACTTTGCCTAGCAACAGGGTACCTACGGAAACCAAACACAAAGTCTGCTACTGTTGCTCTGTGCAACCAGTCCCCACACACACACACACACACATGACAGATCAGGTATTAAGCTCTCATTAGGAAGAGGAACAGTGATGTTGGAGCAGCTGTTTGCACTGCATGTGATTGCTCCTCGGCAAAGACAAGTTTCCTACTGTTAAAAATAGCTGATGCCATACTTCTCCTTAGCAAAGTGTTCAGTACAGCTTTAAACAATCTTTTTCTCAGATTCTGGTAGAATTGGTATTATGCTGCAGTTTGTTTTTGTTATTGCATTGAAACTTAAATTGACTTGACTTATAAAAACTTATTCTAAATGTGTTTTTAATTTTCTATCTTGTCCCATTTTGACTCTTATCTCTGACACCATCTGAAGGTAGATTTCCCCAAACAGTGTAAAAATTGGGGCTCTGTTGTGCTTTTCAAAACTTTGCACTGCAACACAACCGGTTGCATGAGTCTTGGGTGGGGCTATAACCAATGGAGACAAAACTAGAAAAACTATTTTGAAAATATCAAGTCAAGTCAGCTTTATTTATATATAGCACTTTAAACAATACAGATTGTTTCCAACAGCTTAACTGTGATAACAGGAAAATTATGCATTCCAGCTGTTGTTCAGATAAAGTCAGTTCAGTGTTGATTAAGTTCCATTGTAAAAATCATTAATTATTAAAATAGTTCATTTAATCTATAAAGGAGTTCTGGAAAAAAAAAGATGTCATCGTCCAGCTCAGTTCAGTTCTCATACAACAGCGTAGTGTGAGTGCATGTGTGGCACTGTATTATTTATTGCATTGCCCTTGCCCAGTATAAGGGTAATGTCTTTAAAGTCAGAGCACTATACGGTTGCTGCATACTTTCCAGCATACTTTCCAGCCTTTTCAAATCTTTGAAAAAAGAAAAGCAATTCCATTTATTAAAATGCTAAACATTGAATAATACATTACATTCAATTGTTTTTCAATCCTACATTGTATAATTTAAACAACATTATTCCCATTTATTTCTGTCCATGCTTTTCAGTGTTTACAGCATAGTTGTTGTATGCAAATTAGCACGTGAGACAAAGTTTCAGTGTGCTCCCAGAGACAGTGGAAGCACCAACAGAAAGGCAGAGAATGAATGAAGACCCACCCCACTCAGAGCAATGAAGCAATCTGATTGGTCAGCAGCTTCTCCAGCTGTCACTAGGCAGAACGCATTTCCAGCAAGCACGCTCTTCACACTTAATCTCTTTCTAACAGATTTTTCTCTCTCCCTCGTTTCCTTCCTCTCTCTTCCCATCAGTTCCTGTAAAAATGGGTCGTCTCATTGACCCACTTCCATGCCTCATGAAAAATCCAGCTATTCTTTTTTTCTAGCCCTCATCCTCCATGCCACTGAGTATGAATATTTTATATCAGCAACAGCTGATAAGCAGACCAGGAGTAGACCAATATCAGGAGGTAAAGACTCTTCTATACCCTTTACAGCCCAAGGGTGTGACTTGTGGTCAAATTTTGGTAAAAGTTCTTTGGTTTCGAGCAGCCGCAACAGTGAAGTGTCTTATATAAATCAGGGCCTCACTGAAGACTCGATTTAATTAAATACTGCATCTGGTGGCCAATCAATCAAATTTAGGAGATTTTTGACTGGGACCAGACATCAACAGACAGAGTTAGCAAAATGAAGGTTTGTCGAAATATGTTGAGATGACCTAAAAAGTAAATAATCATAATCTCGTGTGGGACACCTCAAATCTGTTGGGTACATTTCTTGCTCAGTATTTGATCATTACTATATTCTAGATGAGTTGTCTCATTTGCTGATCCAAACGGCCCTGTCATACACCCGGTGTAATGCAGCGCCAGGCGTGATCAAGTGTTTTTTGCTATTTTCAGCCCGAATCAGTTATCACTTTCACATCCTGCACCACGTTGTTAAAATTGCAAATGCATTTGCACCCATTTGTGCGCCCATGGGCGGCTGGTCTAAAAACGAGGTGTCTTCAGGCGCATTGCTATTTTGAGGCAACTGAAATAGACATTGACCAACTGAAACCTGGTCTAAAATCTAAAGTCAATGGCGCGGTATTTAATTGTTTTTTGTTATTTAAAGTGTTAGTAATGTGCACCTATAGGCGGGTACACAACACGTGTACACTTTGTCCTGTATGTTCTGCTTGCACGCTAACTTTGCACACGAGCATATCCATTTCCATGCTAGAGAAGCATTCAGTTTTAACGCCATTTAAACACCGAATTCGCCATGGTGCGAGCGCAACTGGCTCTTGGGGAAATTTGAGATGAGAATGTGATTTGTTTGTTGCATGTTATGCCAAAAACACACCCATTACTGTAAGAGAATAGGGACAACCCTTTTAGACCATGAGCTGGGCGTGCAGGCTATTTTTCCCATCGTTAAACTAGCAAAAGTTGATTCAGACCCGACCTAAGTGCACTTGCGCCATGCGCTTTAGACCATGCGCTTAGATCCTTAAAATAGGGCCCAAAGTGTTTGGATGACAACTATAAATTCATCACAAATTGTTTCATCATTATACTGCTTTTGATTATTTTTCTGGTTTGTAATGAATAAAAAAATCCAAACTCAAGCCTAAATCATTAAAAGATGAGCCCAGCTGAAGACAAAAATGTCTGCTGTGCATGTTTTACCATGCAAATTATTCTTTGCCGTAACCTGTGTATTACGATTAGCTGGCATTTCCCATAAGCACAAACTCAAATTAATGCTTTTTAGTTGAAGCCTGATCCAAATGCATGAAAGAAGTCTCTGACAGCATTCAGCTTTTATTGCACTTAGAAGACAGTGCCAAATGTGATCGATGCAATCTATGCCAACAGGTCTAGGGCAGCACTCAACAGTAAATTGCCCACTGACACAATTACAGCATGCGTTGATGTTATCAAGGCCATGGATTTGAAGTGTCAAAATGCATCTGACGCCTTTGGTCATTTTTGTATGACTGAAATGACATTAAGATGAAAACCTAGACTTTATTTAATGACTAGAGTGAAACTGATACAACTGTAGTGAGTGGACCAGTAATGTAGAGCAACATTATCCATTTTGTATGTGCGTGTCTTGCACATATATGCAAGTATGTCATCCCCAAATATGTCAAAATTAGAAAATGAATCAACCTCCACATTGAAGAGGACATGGTCTTTTTCTGCCATAAGGAGCATAAAGGGTCTGTTTCCTTGTGTGGCTGTCATTACATACATGTGTGAGTGAATGAATGCTCATGTGTCAACTGCAATTTTAAATTTTTTCTCAGTCATTTTTTATTTTATTTTTCTTGAATCATCATTAACATTTGCAAACCAGTTTCTATATTTCTCAAAACTACACAAGTACCTGCAAAAGCCTATCACTTGCTCAAAAGTATTTACGTCATTAGAATAAGTGCTTGCATGATTGTTCACAAACAAGATATCAAAATACTTAGCCATGTTGTTAATATAACATATTCTGTATATTTACTGTATACTGTAAAATGAAAGAGAACTGTATAATATATTATGATCAACATGATAATTGATCATTTTGGAAACAGCAGACAATTGTATAAAATCCATTGCATCAACACGCTGAAGCATTACTTTGAAAGAATGAAAATTTCTTTTATGAAATGGACAAGTGACCAGAGGATGCTGTGATCTGAGAAATGTACCAAAGCAACTGAGTAAGTGAGGGTATTTGAAACGAGCAATCTTTTAAGATTTCGCATGCATTACTGACATATCTTGAACCACTTACCTTTTAATGGCTTCTTCCTGCTTTCGCTTCTTTTCGTTTTTCTCCTGAAAGTTAATCTTGTTTTTCTCATTCCACACGTGGTCGATGCTCTGTGTGACCAATCTGTTATATGCCTTTAGTCCACAGTCTTCAACATACTGCAAAAACATTAGTGAATCCTCCTCTTGAGAGCTTATCATTGCTTACAGGCATTCCAGAAGGGCTTTCTGCAATTAAAACAGTGACATTAAAGTTACAAGTGTGAGCATTTGAATTATTGGTTTGTAATTATTATTTTTTGTATAATCATAATGCTTTAGATGGATGGATGGATGGATGGATGGATGGATAGATTTCTATCCTATTAAAGTCATGATAATGCACTTATATGATATGCTTAGAAATGTATGAATACGGCATTCATACTATTTTAATGAGCTATTGTGTGAATAAACAAGGATTCTGGGTCAATGAGATTCTCCCTTCATCAGCAAACGCAGAGATCCTCGCTCTAAGCCTCAGCAGCACTTCTTCTACATCTACATCTACAAAGAAATTGTTTATTAGTAAGCTGTAGTATTGTATACAGTTGGTTATCATGAAAACAGGCCAGTACATTTCTCAGTCCAAAATATGAAGCATTCAGTGGCAGGACACTGGTTAGTGGGCCATTTGTGCTGCATTTAATGAGTCACAATGTGTTTTTTGAGCTGGAGTAACACTTAAGTAAGCGTATATGTGTGTGTCCTTGGGGGGGGGGTGTTGCACGTAAAATCATACTGATGCAGTGATGCAGAGTGTGTGGGTGTGGAGTCTTTTGCAGTGTAGATCTGCAGAAGTCTAGGAGAAGGAGGAGACAGCGTTCAGTATTATGTAGGTCAGTATTTTCAGAGTGATCCATGAATCTAGGCATGCTTGTTTACATGTGAGGAGCAGTGTGTGTTTGGAGGGGGGAAGGGGGGTTGAAGCAACCAGATGGGTAATGCATACCAGCCCAGAGACCAACCACCATTGTCCAGCAACATGGTATCTTTGGTCTTCGACCTTAGAGCAACTTGTGTTGACCATAGACTATTTCATTTTCGCTGATGCATTTAATGTCACAAGACCTTGCTGAGTTAGTAAGTATAGCATGTTTGAGTTTGCAAACTGCAAACAATATTTTCTTCTTCAACACAATTCAGGTTGAAACATACTGTTTATGGCTGATCAGAAACCCTGTCATTTGGACCTGGGTTGGATTTGGTCTTCCAACATCTCATCTTATCCTCCCTCATTCGTTCACTTGACAATATGAGGAGAGATGACTCTATTCTTTAAAGGTGAGCATAAAAGATGTATTTAGGTAATAGTTAGAGAGATGGATACAACATCTTCAATGTAAAATGTTTAGGCCAGTCTGTAGACCTACAGTATAATGTCCCATTAAGAGATGGTCTTATCCAGCAAGTTAGATCTAAAATCATAAGGTTGTATGTAAGGATGAATGTAAAGTTCTAAGAGCTCAGGTGAGAGTTAAGTACTTACAGAGGAACTAGGTCCCTTTTGGCTGCAGTGTCAACCAGTTCAGGTAGATCCATTAGACTCCCAAAAGGACCTGGGACAAAACCTGACTGATATCCTGAGATTAAAACTCCTGTCCAACGAGAAAGATTCAAGCCATTGCAAAGTCACACTCCAGTCCGCAAAGCAGAATTCCCAGGCATAAAATCAGGAGGCAGTGCAGCTCCTTGTAGCTGAGGAACCTTCAGCCCGCTGGGAATGTGCAGTGCGTAACTCCAGTCTGAAAGATGCTCTCCTCTTCATCTGTGCATGCTACACCTGCAAGAGCGCAACCACATCAAAAGGAAAAGCATCCTTCCTAACTCCCATCCACTTGCACTTTTAAAAAGTCCAACAACAACTCAAAACAAAAAGAAAATCTCCTGGAGTCTTCCAAGATGAACCATGTGGACTTCTTAAGTGAAACCTTGTTTTTGTTTTTGAAGCACGCAGCTCTCACGGCAGCGCTGGTTCTCGGATGTGGGGCTCGTCTCTGAGTGGATGCCACCGCAGATTAACTCGAGCTTCACAACACAAAGAACACGCCTCCACCCTCCTCCTCTCCCCCCCCCCAACCCCCCTCCTCGCATGCACTCGCTCACACGACTCCTCGTTCTCAGCACCACGGACAGCTCCTGTGCCGCTCTGCTGTAGTAAACGGGGCAGGAGAGCATGTGTCAGTCATGGCACAGTGGGCGGGACGGGCATACAGGGTGTGACCTCATTAGACTGAGCACCACTCCCAGTGTCCTCAACCAGTAAACAACACAGTGGAAAGCCCTATATTAAAAGTCAAACTTCAAATTATGGTTATAGTTCATTTGTTGTTATTATTATCATCATTATTCTAAAAGCACAAATAATGAACTGTTTTTTCTTTCTTTCTAGGAAATAAACAAAATAGCTTTCTTTGAATCTTTAAGTCAAAAACTAGCCTATAGGCAAAAATAAAAAATCAGAGCATCATAGAGAAACAGAAGAGAGTTGTTGTGTGTGAGATTTGTTTACATGATCGATGCGGTGAGCATGGGCTTGTTCAAATGGATTATTACTGTCGACACAAAGGGATGAAGGGCAGCGATCTGTTGTTTTGCTCAAGCCCCCCCCCCCCCTTCCCCCTCCCTCACTTTCCCCCTCCCTCCCACTGTTTATGTGTCTGTGACTGATCTAGCATCCAAAAAATAAAAAATAAATAAAATGGGGGAACTATGTCAGAGGCACAAGTGTGCAAAGACATCTTCTGTCACAGAAAATGACAGAGCTTTCTGGCTCTTTTGCTGAGGAACAGGGACAATAATTAGGTAAACATCTCATTAGTTGCTTTGCTTTGCAAACACAAGACGATAGTTCATCCAAGTAAAGCTGCTAACAAAAGCCAGCCTGACCTCTTGAAATAAGCTTTGTGTTCAGGTCACAGTTTAGTCTCTTAAATGCAGAATCAATAACTGTGTAAATAATTCAGAGCGTGAAGACAGTGATGATTTTTCTACCAGTTAAAGATTGATAGTTGTTGTTAACCAGATTTGCAGTTGGGTTTGGCTCTTGGGCTGTTTTTTTTTTTTTTTGGGTAATAATAGGGTAATCAAGTGGTGGGCTGGTTTTATTACTCTGGAAAGGAAGAGGTGAGGATCAGCAGGTCAATGAATGAGAACATTTTAAAGATGACAGACTTTCATTAAAATTACACAGTAACTTTCTTTTTCAACATCAATGCCTCGTTGACTAAAGTGGGCCACCAGTCTGTTTCCACGATTGTAAATGAATAACTCTTTCATACACACACACACACACACAGAGAGAGAGAGAGAGAGAGAGAGAGACAATGATGTTTTAAAGGGACATTTCATCTAAAAATAAACATTCTGTCATCATTTACTCACCCTCCCCCAGTGTAAAAAGGATATTTTTTGGTATTTAAAATTTATTCCCTTTTACATTGCAAACACACTAACAAAAAGAGTACTATCTTTAAGTATTTTAGCATCATGCTTTTACATATTTTCACATTACAAATTTGAACACACTTTAAAATAATTGTACTTTAGTATATTTTCTTAAAAATATATTTTAGAAAATACTTGAAGGGAAAATTAAAAGTGTATTTATTTGCACTTTATTAAAAATATATTTTAGGTATATTTTAACTGTGTGCATTTCGATGCATTGAAAGGATACTTTCAAAATACGTTATACAATAGCATATTGTACAAGGTATAGCTAAGTAATATTTGTTTATTAATAATATTTGTTTATTTAACCCTAACCCATACCCGAAACAGCTCCAAAACTAATAAAACACATCAGAACAAGCTAACCAAGGTCTTCAATATATTATTAAAGCTACAGGCATGAAGTGGATCTCGAGGGCCAGAGTAGCCATGCTCTAAAACATCTACAGGAATGAGTTAAATCCATTCGGTGGCATCAAAATTCAAATGATCTTTAAGGTGCAGTGTACGCCAACAAAACCCTCCATGCAACCCTAATCACAAGTATCTCATACCCATCCCTCTATGACATGATCACACATCCCGACGAGTATGAGCTGTTGTAAGAGCAGTGATACTGAGGTGAAAATTGGGGTCTAAGGGCCACATTCACTCAAACAGGCAGCAGATTAAATCTGGGGTTTTGCCTCTTAGAAGTCATAAATCCATATTATCCATAAACCTGAAGTTTAAACAGGTCTGCAGTTTCTAATCTTGTTTTCAGTTTAACACAATGACAAAACGACCTCAAGAGCACCAGGGGATAGTTCACGAAATTAATTTTTGATATGTTTTAGCTTACCTCAAGGGCATCCAAGATGTAGGTGTTTTTGTTTCAACAATATTTTCAATTTTGACATTTTTCGGTCAAACCGTTGTTGTCAGTCATACAATGCAGGTTTAGGGGGTCGGGAAACCAGGAAATAGGGAAATCGCAATGGAAGACGATTTCGATATATCTAAATATGTTTAGTGAAGGTAAAACTTCCGAAATCTCCGTGTAAAGAATGTGTGACGTAGACGCGCGAGAGATCACTTCCGGTGTAACGTTGGACACGGTTCAGTTTGGTTCAGTTGGACATCTGATTCAGATCAGATCGACATGTTTGTTAACAAGAGGTAAAAACTATATAAATACTGTTCGTTTTCTCACACAAACCGCTCGTTTCGTGTCTTAGGCCATCAGTGTGTACTTACATTCACAAGTCCTTAAATCATGTTTAATTTGGACTTCTCTGTGCATGCTCTTTGAGGCGGACCCCCATACCTGCATCATATGACTGACAGACAACAACGGTTTGACCAAAAAATGTCAAAATTGAAAATACTGTGGAAAAAAAGACACCTACATCTTGGACAAGTAAGTAAGCCTTTATTGTTCAGCCTTGGCTGAAAATTGGTCTTTAGTCTCGCAATTACAATCACAGAAAACAATTAACAACACACAATACATAAACATATATGCTTAAAATAATCACAATCACAATTTCTTCCTTTTATTTAAAAGACTTATTGCATTTGGTACGAAAGATTGTTTATATATTGCTTTAATAGCTTTTGGAGTTCTGTAACGACGACGTGATGGCAATAATTCAAATACATGATTCAAAGGGTGTGATGTATCTCTTGCTATAGTCAAAGCTTTCCTCTGAACAGCAATTTGATATAACTGTGCGACCGGTTTTTGTTTAGATCCTACAATTTTTCCAGCAACTCTTGTAATTCTGTCTAATGCCTGTAATTCTGTTGGATGCCCTTTAGGTAAGCTAAAACATATCAAAAATTCATTTCAAAGTGAACTATCCCTTTAAAATGACTGGCGACCAACACTTCTTTTTATAGGAAAAATACTATACAATTAGAAAATGTCAATTAGTAAAACATTGTTAATTTTAGGTTTTATATTTCTACATGTTTCTTTCAGACTCATTGTTAAAGATTTTGCTTAAAAGCCAACACATAGGCTGCTATATAAATGAACATTATCTTTTTGTATGCAAGACTTGAAGTTATGTCTTCAAAAAAAAAAACTTATAATAATAAACCTACCCACAGAAATATTAGCGGAAGTGTAACAAACAGCTCAGCTTTTTCAAAAAAAAAAAAAAAAAAAAAATCACAAGATCAATCAATATATGCACAAATATGTAGACCTAATCCTCACTTATAAGGTTTTTGTAAGTAAAATGTCGTTTACCACTCAACTACTGTGACCAGTACATATTTGAGGTGCTTTAACTCCACCTGCTGGCTACTGGTAATAATGTTTTGCAATAATGCAGTAACATATTATGTATAGAATGGCCAATAATGCTGCCAGCAAATACAACAAGGTTGTACTTAGGATAAAAACACTGTAGAATGGACGTGAAAATACCCTAATACTGTTGCGTTTGTGCAGGGTCGTCATAGAGTGCTGGTCTAACCCAATGGCATTTCACAGACTGTGATGTTACGGTCAACATGTGAAAATATAAAATGTATGCACATTTATAATGCTATATTGTGTTTGCCAGTAAATGACAAAAAAAAAATGGATTTACAATTAAAAACTATTTGCTATTGAAGCATATGGAAATAAAACAAACCCTATGAAACATATTTGCAGTTGTTTGCTGCTCACTGCTACAGAAGTTTACCAAACAATGAAGAGACATATCCACTTCTGAGAAGAACCCCAGAAATGTGAAAGGGTCCATTAAAAGTGCCAGGGACCCGATACCCTAACGGCCCCACTTCCGCGTTCCACACACGGAAATGTGAACATGGTCCGTGGAGCACGGTCCCTTTAAAACTGCAGTGAACGAGAGAAGGGAACGGTTATTGTGCAGAAAAGTAGTTGGACCTTTTCTCCGGATAATAAACAGCATTAGGTAGACATGGCGGACATGCGAAAAGTTAACTCTGCGAGATTTACTCAGAATAACGCAAAAGATAATGTTTCGCTAGGAAAAAGCAGTGACAAAGCTGCGTTATTTCTGAAGTTATTTGCTGCATTTTGCTACGGGATCTCTTCTTTTGTCATAGTTGTCATTAACAAGAGTGTTCTTACTAATTACAGGTAATGAATCGCATTCATATTCATTCATATTTTCTTTCAGCACATTCATATGTGTTTTATTACCAGATGCGACCGAGAAAGTATGGATCTGATCGCTAAAACTCTATGTCGCAAGAGTTTTACTCACCTTTGCTATGATATGACATATTGCTTCGTCATAGCTGCTGTTTGCTCATATAAAAAAACACGTAAAAAATAAAAAAAAACTGATTAAAAAATTGCATAGACAGTGTGGACATTTAGACATTTCGAGTGAATGAGCGCCTTTCATTAAAATGTTTAGTATTTTGTGCACTGTTATTCTGTTTTCCCTCTCAGATTTCCTTCCTCTTTAGCACTGGGAATTGGCCAGGTAAGAAAATGCTGTTACATTTATTCAGTGGGTGTTAATTGTGAATCTCACGAAGCCTATATTGATTAGATCCAATGAGATTTTTGTGCGTTGACATTTTCATAAATG